CTAACGATATTCAGAATGATGCCAAGTACCTGAAAGGTTTCAATGGCACTCTTAAAATACATCAGAATAAGGGTAAAATATCAAGATGTCGTTTGGGACTACTACAAAGCACTGAAAAACTTATAATGAAAAGTTTAAGCTGCTGTGAAGAAGAATGCCAACATTTTAACCTAGGGGATATCAACTCGACTCGACGTCTACTACACAGACTCCGAAGACGAAACCAGGCCAGCCGATTTCTCCGCGGATAATAACATTATTCCAGAAACCGAAATTTCACGACCGTATGACAATTTTATTACTAATTCTGACAATACTTCAGGGCCTAGTACAAGCAGCCAACAGCATTACAAAAATGGTGATTACGTTTTAGTTAGGTTTAATGGCAGAAACACGGAATATCGTTATGCTGCTGTTATTTATAAAGTAAAGTCAAAGTCAAATCATTTATTTCAATTAGACCATCTAAAATGGCTCTTTTGAACGTCAAAAAATAGTAGTAGACGATGAGGATGGCGAACTAACAGTATTTTTATGAAAATTTGTGATGATAAAGGCCACAAGTTCAGAATGGATGAAGATGATATTTCTGATATCAGTTTTGACCAAATACTGCAGAAATTACCACAACCAGATCTTACTCTAAAAGGGAGAAGATTATTTTCCAATATCCGTTTCTGTTTTTGAGAAATAATAATTTTTAAGATAGTTTCCTGAAATGCCATGTTAAGACTGATTTTATAGAAGACATTGTAAAATTAATGCCAATTACTTTAATAGTACAATTGTTTTAAATACTAAGAATGTTGATTGTGATATTAAGTTAGTATATGTAAGAACTACGCATTAAAATTGATTACTTTCATACTAAAATTCGTATATAAAAACAATCCCTTGTGCGTTTACAACAGTCCCCTGTCACGTTTTTGGATAAAATCGTTGATAACTCAAAAACCGGGACGAAAATCAGTGGGCCTTTCTAAGAGATATATTTATTTAAATATTGTCTTTAATTTTATTAACAAACATTCTCAACATCTAACAAAATTTTCTTAGGACAGTCTTGTATGGGCGAGTTTCCAAATAGCAGAGAAACACCCATATAGAACAACAATCTTATTTATAATAAATATTTATCCATTTATCGTTTTTGTAAATACTGCGAAATTGGAAAGATCTAAAAATTAAACATAATATGTAAAAAGAACAAAAAAAAACACTTTTTTTTGTTACAAACAAAAAAAAACGTTAAAACCTTAGATGTTTATAAATTTAAAAAATATTAAGGTTTAGGTTTAGGCTGTGTGATTCCCTGATCTCTATAAACTATATTATATCAACATAGTTACTTTATTAAAAACATATGTACATAAGACAAGATATGCCCTTTTCTTACGATTGCACTTAATTACTTATAATAAATAAAACTAAAATAACGTTTCTGGGCGTGCTTTACAGTGTAATAAGAGAATTCGAAATTCGAACCTAACCACAAAAATACTATGGTATTCTGAATATACTTTAGTTTTAACAAGGTTATATGACAAAGCACTCGATACTAAAAGGATCTGGGCGTAACAAGAGCCATAAACATGTTTGTCACGTGTCTCAAGTTCATTTCACTAATTGAGCCTCCCTCCCTCATACGTCATTAAACCGTGCCAGAATAACGCGTTATAAATCTTCGTACTAAACTGTTTATTGTAACCTAAAGCATGACACTTCAAAATCTAATAATTAAATAGATAGCTTTACGATATATTGTAACTAATAAGAAATTTAATGACAATAATAAAGAAATGGATATACGGTTATTAATTCTCTAATTAAACTAGAAGCCCTTGCGAACTTCGTTTCGCCTTAATAAGATTTTTCACTTAGCCTACCTTTTTAGTCGCTACATACCAACATATGAAACATTTTGCTATGCTACACTACAGAAACTGTTCACTTTTTCGGAATAAAAGCCTAAGTAGTAAATAAAACTAAATTTTTCATTTTGTTTTGTAATTTTTCTCTCAAAAAAAACCTTCCTCATAGTTCAAGGAATAAATAATAAAAAAATACTTGAATTTGTCCAGCCGCCGAGTTTTGTGCTTAGCAACAAATTTTGCGATTCATTTTTATTTATATAGATATATATGTATACTGATCTATCACCTTTGGAAACATGGCCTAGTACGTTTCAATTGACATTGCTTAAATTCATCGACGCAGACACAGCGTCGGAAAAGACTTTTATATAGATCCACTGAGGACTTTCAGACTTAAATAACTATTTCTACTTATAAAATCCATATTATTTGAGGCAATTGTGAATTATATTAAACAACAGTCTCACAGTCAGTTTAAATAAATTAACATTGATGAGTTTTGTAATTTTATCAGCGTCGAGCGAAATGAGTGTTCGCGTGAATATTTTAATATTCGCATACTAATGTCAATGCTCTTAATTGTAATAGCGAATTAATATTTACCTTCTACAAGACGAAAGCATTAACGAGCACAAATATTTAAATGAAATGAGGTAAACGTTTGTATGACTGTCATAGCAAGTAGGAGATCAGCTTCATGTGGTTACCGTCACGAACTAATGTTGTTGCTCTGGGTAGAACCCCAGATTCCACGTCTCCATCTCTATAAGGAGGTCCCGGGGGCAGACAAAAATAAGTGTTTTAGCACTAATTCTTTACTCGCAAATCGAACGGAACCTCGTTTTACCATTATATGATTTTGTACTTAGTCTACCTTTTTAGTAGCTACATACCAAGTCATGTAACATTTTGCTATGCTACGCCATAGAAACTGCATTTCCGGAATAAAAATGTAAATTTTATTTTTGGTTTTTTTTAATCCTTTCCTCAGAATTCAAGGAATAAATAAATAAAAAACATACTCGAATTCGTCCAGCCGTTCTCAAGCTTTGCACTTAGAAACATATTTATTTTAAAATTAATATCGAAGAACGCATCATTCATCGTATTCATTCTCGTTTCTTATTAAATGAATTAAGAAACGAGATTAGTATCACATTACTGATGATGTAAACTAAGTCGGAAGGTTCAGCTAATGCGTTATAAAGTATCGCAACGCTGCGAGTGCCTATAAAATGACGTATTGCGAATTCGAGTGCCGACTCGTTTGCATTGCATCGTATTTTGCAAGGCACGCATAACAACAGCTTTCGAAAGTGTGTCAAGATTGCAATAGCACACCCGACTCGATCAACAAAGCGAGAAATGCATAGCATCAAAACCTTTCCACTAAGTAGGTCTTCATTATTAATTAGCTTAAACCTATACTGCGTTTGCAATAATACCAATCAAAAACGGACATTATATACTTGTTATGGCTTGTGTAAAAAAAGCAATAAAACTACTTTTTAGAATGAAACCTAGTTCCTTACGTAACGAAAACTGTCTTATACATTAACAAGGCGTAAGATAAAACTAAAAATCTATTTCATATATCGAAAGCATCGTCAATTTCTGGCTGAGTGCCACTGTACCACTATTCTGTGCTTAGAGGGATTATCATATGAAATCCTATCAAGCGATTGTGACCACTATCCCACAATAACATAAAACGCCGACCACAAGCCACTACAATCAATAAACCTAACAAAGCGGTATAGAAATATAACGGGACTACGCCAAACGTGGAACGTAAATATTACGCCGAATTTATGTTCTATGAATAGTCATGTTTATGAAACAATCAACAGTCTATTGTTTAATACGCAATTGACAACACCCACATGACTCTCCCATCAGGTAAGCTTGACAATGAGTCACTTATTATTATTTCGTCGCGTTAATCTAATTCTGCGCATGTACAGATTTTGCTTAGCATGAGGTTCTAGGTAAGTGATCATACCCAAACAGATCGTGGGATTCCACATGGAAAGAGAGAGAAAACAAGAGAAATGAAAGAATGAACAATCTGTACTGACGTGGGATGACTGACCACTACAATTAAGAGCCCAAGACGGAACCATCGCTCTCTGGCTAGAGGACTTAGAACAAGTATAAATTATACATTCTTTATTAAAATTCAAAACTTGGCTCTCATTAAATGCATTGAGAATTATGTAAATATAACGAACTGGTTTAATGTTGACGTCGTGTTCTGACCTCAAAGAGTTCGTGACTGTTACTGCACCATAGATCACGCAAACGCAATTCACAATCGAATATACAACGTAAGTCAGCGAAGCCATGCTAAAACAAACTACGTATTACGAAATATGCTGATGACTCATAAATTTAGATATCAACAATACTTTGCAAGCTTTCATTAAAAGTTGCTAAACATATACATTCGATTAACAACGCAATATAACATTTTATAGATTATTAAAATATACTAGCGATTTTCTTCTACAGAAAGAAATCATAAGAAATATGTCTATCTTTCATTCTATTTTGTCTTATTTGTGCATAATATTGAGTGATGCTTTCGTACTAGCGATGGAGTGTAATGTACTTAGAGTGTAGGTGTACAGCCTACTGAATGATTAGTAGGTAGCAATTAATAAACATTTTACATTCGATTAACAACTCAATATAACATTGCAGACTATGTTATAAATATACCCCAGCATTGATGGATTTTTCGGTCACCCTTTTTCTACAGAAACTAAAAGAGCCCGAAATATGTCAATCACACAACATAATGGCACCCATTACGTGTGATCCCGCCGAAAAAGTATGAGTTAAACAGACCCTGAGACAATGATTGATGCGCACATCGCGCGAAACTGATAAATAGAGCTACTTAAAGTATAATATTGGTATCTTTCATGTTATTTTCTGGATTATTTGTGTGTAATTTAAGAGTATTCCTGTCGTACAAGCGATCGTATTAGCCACGGTATTAGGATGAAAGGTAGACAGCCTACTGAATTATTAAACAATTATTAATTTTGGATATATGTGAAATGTAACGGTGGAAGTCGGAGCGATGGTACTGGCATACACATACAAAACACCATGGTTCTGTCAAACTTGTTCATTATTTATATCCGTGATCGTTGCTTTACCGATAATAATAGTAGAACTTACCTTTAAGTATGATCCATAATACTTGGTGACATATGGGCTGTCACACTGGGACAGCACCATAATCTCCTGCTGTATATCCTCGATCTCATCTTCGGCTTCTTCGAGGTCGATTATTTTAATAGCGACAACTTGTTGCGTCCTATTATCGACCCCTTTGAACACCTCGCCGAAGGAACCCTTGCCGATCTTCTCTTGTTTTGTGAAGATCAGCTCCGGGTCGACCTTCTGGAACAAGGGAGAGTTTTTGAATATCCCGAAATTTAAACACTGAAATTTGCAAACATTTTAATCAATTTTATCAATATGAAAGATAATCTTCAGTTGTTGTGATATGTATTATTGGAATTTGTCGATATATTTAAATGATACCAAGCATATATGTCTATTGCGAAATGTTTTAAACTAGATTACGTTTTTATAGACACTGTGATTACGCTAATCATATAATGGTCACTAGTTACCGACGCAATTTCCTTTCATTAACTTCAATATCGCAATGTTTTTTTATTGAGTTCAGCTATGTTCTCGAAGTAATAGATCGAAGTTTCAACTAATATGAAACGTTAGTTTGAAAAAGCTTCGAGACCCCTCGGCATTTAGCTGAAGTCGCCAGAGTCAAAATTCGCTTTAGAAGACGGGCCAACATTTCTCTACGTGACATCTTTAATAAGTATTCTACAGTATTCAAATGCCCAATACGGTGAAATAAATTGTTCGTTATTTTTATGACACGATCCACACTCTTTCAAGTCGAGACTATTTAGGACACAAACAAGATAAGAAAATGAGATAATATGCCGTGCTTGTTAAAACTATATGATAATCAACTAAGATGTATGAGATTACAAAAATTTGATAAAAACATTCTTTGACGTCAAAACGTGTTTAAAAATTAAAATATCATGAACGATAAAGTAATTTTATATACCTTTGAATACGATATAAGAAAGAAACAGTTTCGTTTGAAAATAAACAAAATTCAACATACACGGTATACTAATAAAAAAAATAGTTTTTTGTACCACTAAAACATATACGCACGACAAAACATTCTATATACCATCTTATACGTTAGAAATTCTTATTTAAAACACAATACGTGCCTTTTCTAAGACATCGTGACAAAGAGGCGGCAATAATAACATGATCACTCTGTTAAAATTCTGCTCGTGAAGAATCCTAAAAGGGGAGACTCATACGAACAAAAACCTTTTATTGAGTTTTGTCGGGATATTTCAAAGGTTAACAAAACATGAGAGTTATTTCGCTGGACGTAGATTTTATATGATATAAAAAATACGGTAAAGCATAAAATATATGAGCTTTACAATGAACTAGATCTAAGTCTCCAACAGAAACAAAATCTACAAATATTCTGACCGCGAGGAATTGTGTAGGCCAATCATCGCCGATAGTTATTTCGCCGGACGTAGATTTTATATGATAGAATAAATGCAGTAAAGCATAAAATGCAACTTTACAATGCACTAGATCACCAACAGGATGCAAGCCAATCATTCACCGATTATCGGTAGCAAGTGACACATGTCAAAACGCGTTTTTTTTACGCGAGACATTTAAAAACTATTAACATTACATATTAAGGCGACATCTACATCATCATCATCGTATTTAAAAAATAAATTCCATTACGTGTTCAATGTTATTTAATTACATTTATCATTGTTATTAATTTATCGCCACTATTTCGTCATGAGACATTTCACAAACAATAATAGTTTATCTTCAGGTGTTGATAATAAATGGAACACATATGATTTAAAAAATGGTCTAAATATTGATTAATAATAAATGTAAAGACTAGTAGATAAAATCGTTATCAAATTATTATATACTTTAAACAGGAAAAAGTTTCATTGCTTTAAAACACTAAATTTGTGAATTTCTGCGACTCATATTGCACGGGACGTACAATATGTACAATGTACATATCTACGAGTCATATATTATATATATATATCTACCTACAACTTCTGTTCAACACAACACAATTATTGTTTAGTTGGTTATTAGCTGCTAAAGGAATCGAGGACCTCCGAGTTACACACCATGAAGTTAGCTACTACCTACGTCATGATGGTGGTATAAAACTCAATATAGAAAAAAAAAACAGATAATAATATAGTAATTCTTTGCTGCTAAATTACTTTAAACACTGTGTCAAAATGTCTATTAAAAATTCCGTACTTGGGAGTTACGAACAAGTTTATTATCATTACATTTGCAAACTAGTTGAAAGCTGTAGATTCAATGTTAAATCAAATTCGTAAAATTAGGTACTCTGAGCGAACCATTACTACTATTTTGAGTTTAAACATTCGTATTATAATAAGTTATTATAACCTATATTATAAGGTAAATAAGGGATTTTAATTAAACATTTAATTTCTTTGAGCAGCGTATTTAAAACAAAGTTCAAGCGTTAGATGTGCAAACACAGCATTGAGGAGCGTCGTAGATATCATATACCAGTTTTTATTTGACGCGATGCATTACATAACAAATATGTTCTCAATAAAAGATATGTAAACCAACCCAAGTGAATTCAAACAAATACCAAATCGAAATCCCTTAGTGATTTTTAAATACGCTTAATCGACTCACAATAACGTAAATTTAATTCTACAAAAAATATTAACAGGGGCTGATCGAATTGTGCACTCGACAAATAATAAACAAATGAGTGCGCGTGGGCTTTTTGATAAATTTGATTTATTCCACCTACATTGGATAATGGATTGCATAAACCTTTATGAATACGCATTAGATTTTGAAATACAGATGAGTAATACTGCATTAGCTACCGTGGCGCTAAGTTATAAGACAGTCATACTTAGGGTCTGTTTCACAATGTACGAATAAGTTCTACATAAGTTCCAAATTAGCTATTTATTACTTATTGGTAGGATAAACACTATTGTTGCGTTTCACGACTGTCAGATAGCGCTATTCGTCACATAGAGTGCATCATAAGTAATGAGTCCGATGAAGTGTCAAATAGCACAATTTATCTTCCAAATAATTTATGTGGTGCATAGCTATTTTGTACTTTATCCATACATTGTGAAACAGACCCTTAGTCTCGTAAATTAATAACTTACGTCAGTAAATACGTATTTTAATAGGGTTTCCTACATTTCTTAAATCAGTGGTAAACTAATAATAATTAATTAATCACGTTTAAGCGTTCTGTTACGTATACAACAAATGTTCTGCCTCGTCTTTACTTTAAGTGATATTTGAACATGTGAAATCCACATCACACACGCATTAATTTAAAACTGTTGTGAATCAAGTAATATAATTATCACCTCGATCCTCAACTACCAGCGGGACTTAATAAATTACCTGCAGCGAAAGGGGGTCCGCGACTGAATAGCTTAATTGACATCCGCCAATGCTATTGGATTATTACAACTGCTATTAAAACTTTGTTCTCCAATTTTCAAATTCGAAATGTTTTAAGTTATAATATCACGATGTTTTGCCCAATTCAAGTACCACACTCTCTTATTATAGCATATTCGCTGTCCTAAATATGTACACCTATAATAAGAACTTGGATTTTCGAAAAGTTTTGTGAAAAATACAGATTGTCCCATAAATAAATCTCGAGCCGAAATCTGGCGATTGGGCCAGAAAATTTATATAAAATAAAAATCTAATGTATTTATAAATTATTTCCCTCTAAAAATGTAAATTAATTTTATGTAACCTGTAGAATAATATGTATAGAAATAAAATATGCTATGCAATGTTAGCAAGTGATATAAAAATAGCAGATTTAAATCCCAATTCCAAAGTATCACAACACTTAAAAATGTTCTGAAATTTTTTTTATTTATTTGCTGGGATCAGTAAGCCATTACCTGTTACTAGATTTCCATCTTACGTTAACTCACAGGACAGCCTGTTTACTTATATTATGTTTTGGGACTGCTAGGTAATAATCACGGACAAAAAACCGCCAGTTCTAGCTCGTTGGGTATAACATGACTTCAGTAAGACGATTGAAAAGTAAATACGGTGTTTCAGGCTTAAAAATCGTTCAATTTTAACAAATTTATCAACATCGGCTATCACTGTATCATTTAACATTTAATATTCGAAAAGGTTTTACTTCAGTAAGAAAATCGTATAAATTTTCGTGTATATTGTCAATTTAACACATAACCATACTGTATAAACAAAGCGAAGTAGTTCCTTATTTCATCGTTGGACATGCGACTAGGTGATTTATTGCAACAATAAGAGATAACTGCAATAAAGATTGTTCAAATTGTGACGTAAATAAAACTTAACACTTATTTCTTAGGGAATAAAATGTAGTATTATATATTTGAAACATCGTGTTTACATTATACGACTTGTCTATTGATAGCTTAAAATCGAATCAAGTTGATTCGAATAAAGCATTTATTGAATACCAGACGTATTTTTTATTCTAGTAAGTGGAATTATTATTAGTAAATTCTTGAAAAACATCTTGTCTAAATACAACCCGTAATTCGGTTAGATTTACATTTCGTTTGTATGGACTTAACAAAACCAGTACGCAATGTACTTAATATTTTAATAATGTAATATATCTCTGCTAATTTGTATTCAGAATATCAGCAAGTTGACAGTGAATTACATTAACCGAGTATCGAAGCGACATACCTTGGATGAATATTAGAAATGCATTCGTGTCGGGTGACGCGTGCGCATTCGACATCCGACACGCATTGCGAAAGACGAGGAAATCAAGTTGGAAATTGTAATATGAAAACGGTGAATTAAACACGCCTAGGAAATATTAGCCTTCCTATGTTTACGAGAATTTATTTCAATCGATAACCATATCAGCAAACCAAAAATATTTGGATTAATGGATCAAGTAGCAGAAGGTTTTAATGCTTTATAAACTTTATAATTACTTACGTTCGCGCCATGCCTATTATGTGACGGTCGATTTGGTGCAGGTCTGGCTGGCTGAGGTGGCACTGCCTTCATCTGCCTGCGATCAAAAGAAGACGCGTTGCTACCAGACCAACTCCAACGACCGGGTCCATTGCTTCCATGAGGAAGCGAGTATGACGACTGGGGCCTTAAATGTCTAACATTCGGTCCAGACAAAATAGGACCTGCTGGACCACGCTGCTGTATAGGGACGGTGTGCCCTTGAACGTAATGGTAATGTGGAGGAGTAGAAACTGCTGCACCCCACATTTTAATCACTTATCACGCACATGCACTAATTTAAATTCATCAATCACCTCATCATATCAATCGTGATTGCCAACTGAAAACACTTAGCACTGCACAACCACTGGTCCCTGTTATCGCCCTTATAGCGATAATATTTTAATTAGCCGATTAGAGACACATTTTATAATTTAAATGATTATCGCGCAATAGACAAGAAACGAGTGAACCATTCCACGGTTTGAAATATTAAGGTTGCTTGAAGCAGTGAACACTTCGAAAGCAAGGCACCACCGGACATTGCCAAGACGCGTTTAGAATTAATTTGTCTTTGATCGACAATTGTTTCGACAAATAAGGGCACTAATGATCAAGTCATTTAAAACGTATTATTAAAAAAACGCGGTCACCAAAAGCAATCCAAGAGGGGGTAGATACTTTATTAGAAACTATTCTAATATGGGAAGGGGAACAATAATGGAAATCTCAAAACTATACATTTTCTTATCACTTTCAAACACTGCCACTGTAAGGGCTTCCTTGAGTTAAACTCAATGAATTTCGTAATCCAATGGTAACTTGATCGACAGCCACTTCACAGTTCGACAAACAGCAGAGGAGAAATCAGGCCCGACACGAGTAATCCATAGTGATGGATAGCGTGTGAGTTAGAACGCATTTGAGTGTAGACTGGTTGCGTGCTGGCATTGCTCGTAAAACGTTCCACATCGTCCGTCCTGGCAATTGCATTATAATTTTTCGCAAGGGAGCGCGCGGGCGCAACCGTTGCGCGGGTGGCGGGAGGCGGAGCCAACAGACCGTGCAGCACCAGCTGCTTGCGGCGGCGGCGCAACTGAACCTCTACGTTATACTGCTTACCAAAACGACGATTCCATTCACATTAGCCTTGCGTCGTGGGCGGAATAGAATCACAGTCATTACTATTCCGCCTCTAACATAACACGTTCTTTTTTATCTTCGATTATCTTAAACTGTAACTTAGATAAACAGCAAAGTACCACGTGAAAGGGAAAGTTAATAGGCACATTTGAAATACAATCATAGCTGTCTGTAGATTAAACATAAAACAATAGATGGCCTCATGTTAAAATAATGGTACACGAAACGCGTATTTAGATACGTTGTTCTCAGAACAAAGAACAAAATGGAGGAACAATGACAAATTGATATTAGGCGTTCCCGTTAACGAGCGCGAAAGTTAGCAAGACAAAAGCATTACAAAACTTTCGTTGACCTGTTGTAAATGTTTAGCTCAAGTAGTATGTACATAGGATTAGTATTCCATTAACAACATTTCGTGGCAATGGCTTGGTCTGTACTGAGGAGTCACCGGCCTCACGCTCGTGCTTGGAATACCGACAGTTTGCTGACATTCCATACTTTTACGGCAGCGATTCACATCACCATAACCGTAAGACACAACGTGACCTAAATGGTTTATTTGGGCCTTAATACCGTTACAACCTTTTTGGGAATACAAAATGAACGTCTCGTCAATAGAACTGAAATAAACTTGAGCAAATTAATAAAGACGAGAGAGATGCAACAGGTGTGCATACGTAAAGATACGTTCGGGAATTTGGAACAAACGCTCTTGCTTTCATTCCGCATTCTGATCTATGTCGCTTCGAGATGCTGAGAGCAATCTTCGCTTTGATTAGACGATCACATGGCATTTACAACACACGCGATATAAACAATACAAAACAAGGTATTATAGGATTCTTAAACTGTCCGATAGACAGACGACGCGACGGCTACGCGTGACTAGAACTAGCAACGATCAGCAAGAAATCATTTAACAATAAACTGAAAAGACGATAACAGCACGTATTTTATATTCTATTTATTGAAAAATGGACCTTAATAAAAACGTCGAATACGGTTTCGTACGTATTACGAAAAGACTTAAATGAAATTTCTCAACTACCCATTGATCTTCACTTCAAAACATGATAATGTTATCATGATTCATGACATTCCACGTTCTATCTATAGCAGATAATTGAATAATGTACACAAGGTTGTGCAAAAATGTACTTTAAAAGGTGTGGCAAATTGTAAGACTGAAATCAGGTTATTCGATATATAACATATCTTAACTTATTCAGCTATGACCGCAGACTAGCTCTGGCGTGGGCTATTAAAAATTACGGATTATCCACGCAGCAGTTTAATCGATTGTATTTCTTCAAGAATTCCTTCCTTCATCTATACTAATATTATAAAGTGGAAAGATTTGTAACGAATTGGCTCAAAAAGTACTGGACCGAAATTAAAAATTCGTTGACCATTTTAATGATACATTATCACTGATTAATATAAGCATATTTTAATTGCAAGAAAAAATAAGGATCCCTACTAAAACTATAATAATGTTATGCAAGTTGTAAAAAAATGCCTATAAAGTATCTTTCATCGCATGCGCTGCGAAAACTATTGATGATTAAACAAAATAAAATTTCCACAATATTAAAGAACATATCGATATCTAAAAAAAAATGTCCACCCGTGCAAAGCCGGGACGGGCCGCTAATAAAATTAAAAACTTTTAACCCTTACGTCAATCAGCCGCGACCTGCCGTTTTTTATCTACCTATGTCAATTATAATTTAATCTTGTAGTTGTTAAATTACTTATGAATCTTTAAATCTCCTCTAAAGCAAATAGATTAAATACCTACGAGAGATCTGTGTTCCATGTAGAACATAAATCGCCCAACACTGTACGTCCAAAATTTATGTGCACGTAAAGTATTCAATGTACGTGGCAATGGCTGTGCAGTTTCATTTACCATTAAATAACATTGTTATTGGACAGAAAAACGTTAGAAAATATATTGAAACAGTTCCGATTCACCGCATACGTGCCTTTGATCGTTCGAGAATTGAGTTCGATTAACTAGAGCTGGTTAGTATTGAAATGACCGACTGCATTGTTCCGTTCACTTCTTATGTCCTAGTCATTTATATTTATTGATCTTATTTAATCCATTTACCCAGGAAGCTGCTGCTAATACTAGTTGTATCGATGATTTAAAGGGAAGCTACTAGGAGATAGTTTGCACCTGACTACGCAACGGCAAAAAGCATACCATTTGCCTCACATAGGAAACGCATTAGGCGTGTACGACACTATGAGAGCGCAATATCCGACCGGTGCGGTGGATATTGCTATATAAACGATTTTAACTAGCAACCCTGCTCGACTTCCTCCAGTGCATGTATCTAAGGAGCTTTCTTATTATGAAAAAATGCATGCCAGAACCTAATGCCTCTCAGAAATGATTTTCTTATAGCGTTGTAAGAGTTTCATATATTAAGTTTTTTTTTATAGGTATGTAGGTAGGTACTACTACTTTTTCCCCATTTCGCCCGGGACGGGACGCCCAAAAAAGGGCAGTCATCGCAAACCTAGGACACCTATTTTTAGTGGGTGGGTGGGCCGGCCTTTGAGGGAGGAGTACCATCTAACTTTGGAGGTCGTATCTCTCAGGGAAGACCACTACCGGGAGTCGATTCCACAGTCCGCTAGTTCGGAAAATAATGTGTCTAGTGAAGCGGACTGTGGAAAACCTCCAGCCATCAAGGTGATGTTGATAAAATTAACCAATAAATTAATTTATTATTAATTATGGGAATTTATAACATACCCATATCAATGTACGGGAACTAATAATAATAATTGATTTAAACAATTTAAAAAAATACCTAGTAATAAGTGAGAAGTCATACACTTTTCGAAATAGCTTCAGTAAATTCAATCAAAACCTCATAACTTGAGACGATTCCCTTTTAATACTTTAAAAGGTACTTTATAAATGATAATTAACCCTTTGAAGCTTCGAAGATTTAAACAATTTAAGCTAAAATTATTATTCTGGTGATTTAATTACAAGGCTTTCTGCGTAACCTTTTAACATTGCTTAAGAATATTTTTAGTTACGAGTCTTAAATTGCTGAGTTTTTAAATAGCTTTTAATATTTATAAGCCTTTTGTTTTATATGTCAGAACTCAGAACTATGAATCAAAAATGTATGACTGGCTTATTTTTATGTAACATACAATAACCTAAATGCATGGGGTAAAACTTTACTTTATAGCCTCAGAGAGTACAACAGTTTTCCATCCGTACAAACGTGGGAATACATTGAAAGATAAAATCAGATCCTCAAGAATAGAATACCAATAAATGTTTCCATTCCGATGGCGTCTTATTCAAGAGCACTCGATTATTCAACGTAACTGGCCCGTGTGCAGTGAGTGCAGCGGCAATGGTCCGAAAACAGCTATTTCCACCTTCTGCTACAAAGAAAGACAATCGATCGAGCTTCATCTGAAACTGTGAACTTTTGAACAACCCCAGACAATTGTAAAAAGTTGTTTTTTACAGTTTATAGTTAAACTTTGCACTAAGATGCCATCATTACTTCATATTAATGTATTAATTATTTCCAAGTGACATCAAAAAATGAGATCAACAATTTGACCTTGATATTTGAGTTATGATCGATTGAAGCTTCTAAGCATTTGTGTTAAATTTTTCATGTATTTTTCGATGAGTCACGTAAATAACATCAATAGTGAACGGGCCAATATCATCAATATCCGTACTTTACCTACTTTTAAGATATTTAGCCAAGAATTTCTGTAGGGAACATGTATTGTATAGTTACCTATAGGTAAACAATGATAACAGTAAATTGATTTGAATTGATTTTTTATTTTTGCCGCACCACCTCGATGGCACCTCTTATACAAATTGCTTCTCTAGGCACTGAATTTTGCGAACCGGCGAGCTGTGGCGGCAAGATACGGCCTCCAAACAAATAAAGCATACCATTTCTTAAAGGCCGTCAACGTGCACTACGAACATGGTCCATGGGCTGTGGTAGCTGCCTTTTAAGGCTCCGTAGGCTCGTTTCCCCCTATATCGTATCATAAATGCCATTCAATAAACATTGTAACATAAAAATAATAGTTAAACTTTAATAGTAATTTTCACATTGTGTGCGAATATTTATACTAATCCAAAACACGGACCGAAACCGGGTATTACAAAACTATGAAACTAATTTTATAGGGAGACACAGTTTGAAGCCGCTAGTAAAACAATTGTCGGAGAATTCACAAAAGATAAAGCCCTAGTCCAAATATTGATGCTAATGTGTATAGCGGAAACCATTCCATTTCAATATCAGTAGCGATATCAAGCCAAAATCATATAACGTGGTGGCTATCAAAATTAATATAAAGATAAGGTATGTAAAGTAATAAAATATGATATACTGTTGTATATTTATAACATATAGATAAAATATCTATAGAAATAGCATTGATATATCCTTGCAAAGAGAATTCGTAGCACAAAGATATTATGAATGGATATTTTCTCTATATTTTTTGTTTGAAGAAATATTTATATAAGATGTGTAGGCAGAAATATCTTTACATATTCTTCAGATATAAGCTTTTTATCGTAAATATATTTAGAACAGGTATTTACTAATATAGCTATATTTCTGTCTATCTTGATAAAACGCGTACACGAACCTTTTTTACGAACGTAGCAATAATAAATTATAAATGGGGAAATTCACTAATTAGCAACGTTTTGAGTTCCATATTCAAAATACTACTTTGCAGTGGATATAGCGTAATAGACGGTATTTATAACATTTAGATCTAGAACTTACAGCAGAACCGTTGCGTAAGGACTAAAACATCTTAATATAGCCTCGCTTGATAAATGTCACATCTTAAACTATGATAGGTTATGCGGTTAACCACACCGAGACGAAAGTTCACACCGTATCTCATTACTTATGTCTTAGAAAGCGGCTCTATAATGGAAGCCATTATATAACATTGGGTGTGATATAAAATTGTTATGACACGTACAAAATCTTCTTTCATAAAATACATTAATAAAATGTAATTTCAACGCTATTGATTTATTTTTTTATTGGACAGGAGGCAAACGAACAGGGACTTTGAATAAAGTGCTAACTACCACCCATTGACACCAGCAATGCTGAAGGGTTAGCGGGTATGTTGCGGACCTTTGTGGGAATGGTACGCTGTTTTCTTGAAGGCCCCTAAGCCGTATCGGTTACGAAATCTTTAGAGAAGAAGTAGAAGTCTACTGAAAGCTGGTAAGACTTAGAGGTGGTGCGCGGCAGAAAGTAGGTACTTTTCGCAATTACTATAAATATGCACATTCCTTGACTAATTAGTGTTTGGCGCAGAAAAATTTCCCCCAACGGCTCAAATGCTGCTGTTGGTCACTCAAGATCCTTTCTACAATGAACTGTTTGAATCTCAAGTGGCATGGTCACCATCATAAAAGTGTCCATCCGTCTAGAGCTGTAAGCTACA